AATGTTTGTATAGCTCTGTGTCAGCAGTTCTGTGGACTTGGTAAAGCTCAGGGAAAGATTGTGGTCTTGTTTAAAGAGGCTTTGGCAAAAGTTCAGTAAGGACGATTCTCTTTCTCTCATATTTTGCTTGTACCATGAGTGAATTTATGATTTTTCTCCCACTTCCGACCTTCTCCATCACTTCCATTTTCCAGGAAGCCAGGAAGCCAAGACAGTGTGACCCTGAAAGTGAAGCAGCGAAACCATCATTCATTCGATTATTTATACCTTTCGTGCTGTCACATTCAAAACTGGCTGCTGTAAAGAAAGCCTCTACTCTAACAACATTCCTTGAATCAATTCTGCATTTTATCCCTGTAAATAGTGAGGCTCTAAAATATAATATGACCCGTAGTAGTGCTGCAGTGGTAGACAATATGCCACCGATAAACAGTAAAAAAAAAATCACTTTTGAAGAAGAAATAACCAACCCTTTTATTATGTGGCGATGCAATGATAAAGGTTTGGTTAGGACTTGATTACATTCAAGAAAAGAAGTACTTTGTTAAGTTTAGAGGATCGTTGTCACGTTACACTGTTATGATTAGGCTATAGAACAATCCTGGTGGTCATTTTGGCACCTTAAATGTCCCATATTTTACACTTTTCCTTTAAAGTTTTGATCCATAAGAAGATATTTGTGGTTTTAAGAACCAAAACTCATCTCAGTATAGTTTTACATCTCCTCTCTCAGGCTTCTCCTGGAGCTCTAGTTACAACAGGTCGGTGAGCCAATCAGAAGAGAGGCTCTGAGTCTCCTTTCTGATTGGCTGACTGTTTTTTGAGTAATATGATTAAAATATAACAGATTTCAGGTAAACAGTCGGAGAAACCAAATCCTGCAAGGTTGAATGTTGGGTCCAGGTGGGCCAGGGCTTGGGGCATGGTTGACCAGATCAGTCAGAAACACTAGCTAAAACATTCTCGACATACCCAGCTTAGGTTCAGTTTCAGCAAATGTGTGCATGTTTTTTGGTACTTTTGATGTTTGAAGATAAAGCTAATCATTTGAACATTTATGCTAACTCTGTATCTCATACTCTTTTTAAAATGTGTAAGCTAATTGTTTAGTGTGTTTAGCCCATACTTGATCTACTGGCATGTAGCCTGTATACGCCAGGTTCCATGGCCTGAATCTGGCCCATATACACATCATGATTGTCAGATGCTACTTCCATATCTGGACCAATTGTGGCACACACAGAAAAATTTGTGGCTGTCAGAAAATACCGTAGGATAACAGCCAGAACTGGCCCAGATGTGGAAGTATATGGGTCAGACTCAGGCTAAGGACCCAGGCATATGTTGGGCCAGAAGTTTCATTTTGTTAGTCAAAATTTTTGGTCAGCCCCAGATCTTTGTGTTCTGTAATTTGGATAACTTTCCTCCCAGAATTTATTGCTAGTCTGGTACCTGTTACATCAACAAATAAGGTTAGCCTAAAAAACTAGCTGGTGGTTTGTATAAACAGGGTGACCTGGGATGTTGTCAAATTCCAGGCCGGAATTATTGTTTCAGTCCACCCCTGGTGGTCTCCTTTTACCTAGATAACAAAGATAAGAATCAAGCAGAAAACACTTTAGTTAAGGGCCGGTCATTTACCCTTTCATTTCTAGTGTATTTAATATTTCAAAAACTTCAAAATGTGAAGAGGGTTTTCTTATGAATTAAGTATCATATCTGAAATTCCTTCACTTTTCCTGATCACTGAAGTCATTTTAATGAACTCTATGATAGCAGATCATTAGCTGATATCTCTGAACACATTCTTTATTAATATAATTACTTAAAGTCTCACTCATTAAAACAACTCATTCAGTCACATGAGGTGAAGTAGAGGCTCTTATCTTTCAGAGTGAAATCCTCCTTTTCTCTGTTTGACAGGCAGGTTCAGAGGAGCTCCGGCGGTATCATAGTGGAGTTCCAAATAGTTTCACAGCTTGAGGACACAAGTGCAAATGTTAGGCCACCTCTGTCTAAATCAAATGCATCTTTATTCCGTTCACGCTGCAGACAGTCTGAAAAAAAAAAGAAGAAAGAAACAGGCTGCAGCATGAATACTAACAGCAGCCGATCTGCTTTGCATTGCTAATGTGGTCAGAAAACTTGTCAGAAAAGCTGTGAAATAACTCAATGTGCAAATCAGGAAATCTGAATTATGATTTATGAAATTAATGTCCTTGTGTTACACATTGTGTACTCTTTAAATAGCTGTGATATGGAGAATTACCCTGATTTATTTAGTCCAGAGAAGGCTAATACCACACCGAAGGGGAGTTATGTCAGTGTAAAATACACATTTGTAGGTCATACAGGACTTCAAAGGAAGCAGAGCTGCTACACCTCAAGCCATATTTAAATTAATAACTCTCAAGTAGTGACACCATCCAGCCAGGAACTCAGTTCTCTTCTCAGTCTGACTGTAGGGAGTGAACTGAACACTGAGGGTGTCAAGACTCCTCCCATTTTCCCATCAGCCACCGCGTTCCCACTCATCTAACTGCCCTGCCCATCCACACATCTCCAGTCACCTGAGTTCTCCCCACTCTCACCTGGTTGACTAATCAACCCTGAACTACATTGACTAGCTCACTCCTTTTTGTTCTCTGTCGGATCATCTGTTCATGTTCCTGCTTTTGCTCCAGTGTATTTTCCCTATACTACCTGCATGCTTTATCCTGTTGTATAGGGATGGTGAGATGAAGCTACATGTATTCTACCAACGTATACATTCATACAAACTTTATGGGTTCGATTGAAGAAAACTGTATATTCTGTAAATGTAAAGATAATCTTAATATTGAGTGTAAAAATATCATTACATATTTTGAACATTATAAATGTGACATTGAATTCATTGATAATCTGTTGTTCCTATATGTTAAATATCACATACATAAATGCTTTATCCCAAATGCTGATTTTTAGGTGAATTCAGAGAGTAAATTAGAACTCTTGATCTTATGAATACTAAAAAAAGTAATAAAACTATCAAAGTGTACGGTGAACTCTTTAAAGAGGAATAATCTAATTTATGATATGGTTTTTCTCATAATTTTACTGTAGTGTAGTTGATTAGATCAATTTGTCTTTCATGTTTTTTTTCTCATTGTATCCTATTAATTCCTTTTTATTTATTGTTATGTAATTTTGTATTACTACTTTCATTTATATTGCAATTATTACTCTCTCACAACTATATTGAGCACATGTTTGTATTCTTTGTATATTTTAATGTTTTTTAATAAAGATAGAGAAAAAAGCCTCAAGCCCAGCCCGACTGGTATTTCGATGACTCCTTAAGCCGTCCAATGTTGGGTTCTGCAAGGTACTCCTGCACCTCCACTGTGTCGTCTGTGTTGGGTTCTGTGAGCTACTTCTGTTCCTCCAGAGTGGCATATGCATTGGGATCTGCAAGGTACCTCTGCACCTCCACAGAGGCGCCTGTGTTGGGTTCCCGTAAGGTAGGCTACTTCTGACTCAGAAATCCAAGAGTCTTAAATCTTGAAATCAGCAGAGTGGCAAGTGATGTGATGCTCATGGACTGCAATATATGAAGCTTCTCCCTCAGTTGCCTTACAGGGTGTTTTGCCCATTTCACTCGTCACTGATTTTGGACTGAGCAGTAGCTCTTGCAGATTGTGCTGTAACATTTTTAAACATTTTTAAGAGGGGTAACATTTTTGATCCAGAGACCTTCCTTTCTTCTGAGAGTTCCACAGTCGCTTTATTAAATGGAGCTAAAAGATGGAGGCAACCTTTAATAACTGTGAAAGGAAAACAATTAATTTATCTGCTTTTTCTGCTTCTAAAATATCCCACCAGCTTCCTGACTTTGGCTCGAATATCAGAGAGGACCACTGTCTTGTCTGCTTTCTGCACCTGGGCTTTGGTCTTTTCCGGAGATGTTTTATACCTCATTTCTACCATGGCCTTCACAGATTGAAAAATAAACATTGCTTTATTCTAAATTCTTCAGTGCTCATGCACACATTGTGTAGGGTACACACCTGTCTTGTGGAGTGAATATTAGTGGGATCTAATATATGCACAAAATGCTAAATCCCTTATCCTCAACCACAGAGAATGGCTGACTGTCCATCACAATGGGGGAATGAATAATTAAGTTCTTTATGATACTAACATTTAACACCATATTTCCCCAAATTAAGCTAATTTTGCCTACATAGGTTTTTTTTTTCATGCCACTTTAAAACTTTTTCTGCTCTGAGTAGTTTTACTTTCCATAGCTTGAGTCCATTTTTGTGATTATACTTACATACTTTTACTTGCGCAAAATGTTTAATGATGAACTTTTACTTTAAATAGAGTAGTTTTACACTGTGGTATTATATATATATATAAGACACAGATAAGTAACACAGTAAATGACCTGAACAGAAGTTCTTCCACCATTCCCAGTTTACATTTCAGATTTATAAGAAAATGTGTATATCACATTGTTTCACTCATCTTCGTTGAGAGTTAAAATGGTATTTCAAACAAAATTCTTCTCTAACATGTTTTAACTTGTTTTTGTTTATTTATTTATTTATTTTCCAACCCTGGGTGACTGAGTTCATCATACCTGTTTTTATTACCACGCCCTTCCTCACATATTATTGGTTAATGTCCCAGGACAACATGGCTTTCATTGGCCAGGTTTTGTCAACATACAGCCCATAGCTGCCAGATTTGTCAAGGTACCTACAGTCAGGTGGGCAATACAGGAAGTTGATCAGGTTTTAATAAACTGTATTTATATTTTTACTTTAAAGTGTAAGTAAAGTCACTTTTTTATGAAAACAATAATAATTTACTTTCGTGCAGAACACGTTCATCCTGAAAGGAAACAATGATACTCTCTTGGGGACTTAGTTTCACTCAGTCACGCTGGTTTTATTTTGAAATTTTGTCGGACACTGACGCCGTATCGCTTCCTGGTTGATGTGGACAGGAGGAAGAGCCGCTGGGTGAGGTCTGTTGTTGTTACTGAGGAAATAATGGAGAAAGTCTGTAAAGTTGAGAACGTAAACCCGCAGGATTTATGGAGTTATTGAGGTTTTAAAACTCTCATTTATTCTGGACTAACGGAGTTTTATTGTGGAGCTTCCTTACGTACCTCCATGCTCCGGTACTCTCCCCATTGGCTGCCTATGGATTGCTAGCTGCTAACGCTATATGCCAGAGCACCTGTCTCCAGCCTCTTTGTCTCACTCACTCACGTCTGTGGCTTCAGGTCCTCTAGTCTGTCACTCCTCTGAACTTGGTACGGTAATTAGTCTTTCTCCTCACTAGGTTTCTGTCACAGCTAACCGACCCACGCTAACAAGAGCAGGACAAAGAAAGATGGACTGAAACTGTCTCCGGTTAGAAATGTTCGATACAAACAGTGTCTGCGACTCGCTGGATATTTATAAACCCAGATATTCTAGACAGTAAAAAGACATGGCGTCCTCCAAAGCAAAGGTCGGAGTCAACAGTGAGACCAACTCCCTGAAAGAAAGTAAAAGCAGCGGGAGCGGTCCGGCTGGAGAAGCGGCTCCAAACCACCGGATATACTGCCTGGATGACCTGGAGACCGTTGCCACAGTGGGTGAGTTGTCACACATCTGCAAATGAAAGTGTATACATTCATAAATACAACAGTGCTGGGTACTTTCAGGTCCTGAAAATACATAAGATGTATTGATTTTTAGTCCTTTAAAGGTATTTAAAAGTCTTAAACTTCTTTTACAAACCCCTCTGTATATTTTCTAGCCTCTAAAGTCAGTCCTAAAATATTTTTGTGTGATTTTCTAGCTGAAAACCCAGTTACTACTGTCGTCCCAGACCAATATGTAATATTAATCCATCCATCCATTCTCTGCTGCTCATTCAGGTCATGTTTAAAGGTCCCATATTGTATAAAGTTAGATGTCCATGTCTTGTTTCCATGTGTTTTTCAATTAGAAAGCAGATCTAGGATCTATGTTAATACTGTGAAAGTGTCGAAGAGCTCAATCAACAGAGAAATGTGAACAGTCCATATTCAGAAACTGAGCCTTAAAACAGGACTTCCTCAACTTTGTGATGTCACAACGAAGCTGTCACAGCTCTCAGCCATGACCAAGACCCCACATGATCAGAGCAAGGCCAACTGCCATAATTTTCGTCAATTAATTATTGCTTGTCGATCAAATATATTTATTTCACAGTAGAATAGAATCATATTGATTAAACGTTTTTTTTAGTTACCGCATTATCAATTTACAGTGTAATGTTTAAGTAATTCATGTCCAGGGTACCAGATTTTCAACTCCAACTTGATTTCTTAGTGCTAATATTATTCAAAGGCATTAAGTAACTATAAACCAATTTCATTATATCTCTAGTACCTGAGTTAGGCCTGTTAATGTTATTTGATTTGTTAAAATGAACTCTTAACCATGTTCACAAAAGGAATAAAAATGAATTGTGTTGCACATATTAAGTTTATTTTTGACGTGCTACTGCTGATTTTCTCAGTGTATTTTGGTGGGTATTAAATTGCATTTGTCTATATAAAAATGTTTATAGAAGTCTTAAATTTAACTTTGTAAACCTGTAGAAAAACAGCTGAAGTAAGAAAAAATAATAAACTGAAGTACAGATTCACATAGCCCAAGCTGACAATGTCCTAAAGTCCAAGGTGATATCATAGTGTTTCCTTTAGGACCCCCACATCCCACAGGCGAAGTTCGCTGACTCTGCAATAGCGAACCACCAGCGACGCTTGTCATTCTAACAGCTGAAAGTGACACTAAGAAGAGAAGCTGCAGCTGGTGTTTTCATGATGCTAATGCTAATTACCATCGGAGCTCAGTGAATCTGTATCTTTCTTAACTGAGTCAGTCACCGCTGCACCCAATGGGTATTTCACTGCCACCTGCCAATGGATGCATCCTGTATCCTTACTTTCAAACTGAAAGTACCCTCTGCAAAGTCATGTAATTGTAACTTCATGACATTTCATCAGATTCTGAAGCAGTGGCTGTTTTTGTTCGACTATCAGTCTTAAGCCCCGAGAAACTAAATGTCCATCATGTAAGACAAAAGAAAACAGCAAATTTCCTGAGGAAGTTGGCATTTTTTCTTGAGAAATGCCAAACAATAATTTATTAATTGATTAACTGTTGCAACTCTCTCCCAAGTTTCCGCAGCCACTTGTTTTGCTCTGAGAACCGAAACACTTCATTAGATAAAAAAATGTTTTTGTAGAGAAAATCGTGATACACTCATGTGTCAGTGTGGTATCAGTACTAGTGCTGTAATCTGAAAGTCTCAAATGATATCCAGCCTTCTACATGAAGTATTCATGTGACTGAATGACTTAGATGGATGGTTCTTCAGACTAGTGAACACCACAATGCAGACATGTGACCAACCAACCAACCAGTCAGCCAAGCCTAGTCCAGAATCTTTTTTTTTTTTTTAAGTCTGTGTGTGTGTGTGTTTTTTTTTTTTTATGCCTTTATTTGATAGTACAGTACAGTACAGAGACAGGAAATGGGGAGGCAGAGAGAGGGGGGAATGACATGCAGCAAAGGCCGTCAGATGCCGGACTTGAACCGGGGCCAACTGCAGCAAGGACTGTAGCCTCTACACATGTGGCACCTGCTTAGACCACTACGCCACACGACGCCCCCTAGTCCAGTGCTATACGTAAGTTTTTGCTATCGCTACATAGCAAATCTTAGCATCAGCAGCTATTTATTAGAAGAAACTTTGCGAGTTCAGTTGCGGACTTCATTCCTTTATTCACTAAGAGCTGTCCCCAGTGGTGAAAAGCAACAGCAAATTTTACTCTTCTACTGAAGTTAGCATGCTAACTAGCTAGCCCTGGCCATCCCATCTGGCAATACTACTGTTCGATATTGAGGCACTGTAGTGTGGCTGAGGCTCTTGGCAAGCAACCATCATCATCACCACCACCTGCTACCGGGAAGGAATTACATTCAGCAGCAGAGAAAACTTACATATAGCACCTTAAAAATGCATCATGCCATAGTGAATTCAGACATATTCAAAATATTTTTACAGTTAGTGTTGTTGATATAAATATGATATGGATTTTACATATCGTTTAGCTCCTCTGAAATAAAAAAATAAACAAATTATCTATGAGGATATCAGTACTACTATCAGTTACACCTGACCTACTTTATCCTTTATCTTTTTTTTCCTTTGACTTTATATTGTTTGTTTAAATGCTGCTGCTGGCTGAGGTTGTTCCACAAGAATCTGCACAGTTGTTGTTATCTGAAAAACTGCACGTTCTGTGCTATGATCCAAACACTGTCAGGCAAGAAGGCAGACGTCCTCAGCTCAAGCATACAAAGTGCCCCAGGGTACTTATTGTCTGTTCCAGGCAGTGATTTTAGATCACATTGTACATATTTGAACTCGATGAGGAAGCATTGTCTCAGAGTCATGATATTGGAGTTATTTTTAGCCATTTAAAATCCCTACACATAACATTATGGTGGTGTACTGATCATTTTGATTGTATATGGTGAGGTTGTTTAGCTAAGAGTGAATGAGAAGACATAGTATTTTGTTTTTGAAGGGCTTCTTTATGCTGTGACAGCGGTGCACAGAGTTCAAACCTTAAAATGAAACATTTGGCAAATCCAAACCACATAATAACCCATCAAGCACAGTTTGTATACATACAATTTTTTGCTGTGTTTGTCATAATGAGTGTGCAGTTCTTAAATCAGCAAATCACTGAGATCTGGCTAGAGCCAGCAGCACTGAACCACTTCATATTTTTTGAAACTCAGGGCTTGATGGATCAGTTATTAGCGAGTTTCACTGAAAGACAATGACTCCTCAGAAATAGCCTAAAGTCATGTTCCATAAATCAGAGGTGTGGAAACCGGCCAGTCAGTGAGGCAGGGTTCAGAGGACTTCACATGCCAAGGTTTGTCCCTGTTCAGGCACCGACCTGCCCTTCAGGGAGAGTTAGTCATCCCTGTTTGACTTGATAAAAGTTTGAGTCACGCCTACATCATGGAATTACACAAGACCTTTCTCAGGAAGGACCTTTTATGACTCCTTTAGAAAAATAAGAATCATCTGTCCCAAGGAAAAGCCTTGACTGCAGCTCTTCCTGTGGTAAGGACTGTGCTTGGGCCAATAACGAATATCACAATATATCCTGCCATATGCGATTTTTCATAATATTGCAAATTATTTTGCAGTTTTGCACAGTCTGTCCTACTTCGAAGGAATTTCCAACAAATAAAGCTTTAAACAGCCCACCCCCTGTGCAATAATATCATGATATTTGGACTGGTCAGTATCGTGATATTACATTTCGGTCTTTTCTATATGGTAAAAGTTTGAGTCACGCCTACATCATGATGATGATTACACACGATCTTTCTCAGGAAGCGTAGGCTTGTGCCGATATTTGATAACAACAAATACTGTGACNTTTCTATATGGTAAAAGTTTGAGTCACGCCTACATCATGAGATTACACACGAACTTTCTCAGGAAGGTCTTTTTTAAAAGATAATAATCATCTGTCTCAAGGAAAAACCTTGACTGCAGTAAAGCGTAGGCTTGTGCCGATATTGAATAACAACAAATATTGTGATATTTCCTGCCATATTTGCCTGCAATATTTTTCATAATATCAAAGTTTTTTGCAGTTTTAGAGTTTACTTACTGTATCATGTAACAAATCAAACTTTGAACAGCCCAACCTCTGTGCAACAATATTGTATATTGTGATATTTGGGCTGGACTGGATCGTGATATTAAATTTCGGATATCGCCCAAGTCTAGTAAGGAGAAATGTGGACGAGTTGTTCACAGTGATATAACTGTCAGTCAGGTCCAGTTGACTTTGAGTTTGGAAAGTAAAACAGTACAAGTAAAAACAAAACTAAAACTCAATAAATTCAATTCATGAAAATCTACCAAAGAGCTACCTAAGGACCGGTCTATCCAGTCTTCAGTCTTGACAGTGCAACAGCGGTGCAGACTAATCAAAAGGCCAGATGGTGATGGGAATGGTAGTAAGCACCAGAGTGATGACACTGCATCCCTCAAACCTTTTTCATTAATTGTAATAGTTGCATTTAACATACATTCTGATTTATCATCTCATGCTGCGTACTTTATGGAGGATATCTAGCTCAATAGTGTGCATTAAGCTACATGCAGGCAACAAAGCCTGAGCTTAATGTCTGTCAGGGAGGTGTGCAGCAGGGAATGGCATTCATCCTGTGCTGCGGAAAGCTTGGAGCTTATGAGCCCCGCATAAAAATCCAATTTGCCAAGCCATTTTGTCTGATGAGAGGGATTTGCTGCCTAAAACAAATCAGCTAAAGCTCTTTATCTGCCCGCTGTTGTTTAATTGTCATTGAAATCATGAGGCAACTCTCTTGCGCCATTAGATTTATTTGCTGCTGTCACCTGCTTTGGTAGCCTATATGACCTGGAGAGTATCACTCGAAGGCAACGCCAACTGCAGTCCTGTCAGAGCAAATGAATTCTGCAGCCACATTACTGTCCCAAACCTGGGATTTAGGGATTTGTTGGTGTGGTTTGTGTGAATCTGTTACTCATAAGTCCTGCCAGTACAGCAAGAATTTAAAGAGTTGCATGCAGTGCAGTTGTTTTTCCTAAAGCCTTAGAAAGGGGCAGGTGGAAGAGGAGACCGGGATGACCCAGTTTCCAGAGGGGTACATATCAGTTACAATACATTATTCTCAGAAATCAACCGGCCTTTTCGTGGCTCAGTTTCACTGTCAGTCCCTTCTTGGTTTTTCATAACGACCATAGCTCAGGAAATGGCAAAGGAGCAGCCCTGTGATTTAACACATATAACATGAAGAGAATAGCTTGTTTTTCTCCCCCCTTCATGTACATTTCCAAATTAGGATTAGGCAATGTCCAAAATTTGATATCTCTATATAATCCAGCCCCAATATTGTGATATATGATATTAGATTTATTTGTCATATGCCAAGGTATAATATACAGTAAGCAAATCAGTAAAACTATGGTTGGACTCAGCAGCAGGGGAGACGGGAAAAAAAAGAAAAAAGTTGATATTATGAAAAATATCACATTTGGCAGGAAATATCACCATATTATCTGCCCAAGCCTAGCTCAAATAATAATACAGTGCAGGTCTGTAGCCCACTTCTCATGTCTGCTACATGTTCCATTAGCTGCTACTAGAATAGCGTGTCTCATTGTGACATCACGAAGTTCAGGATGTCCTGACGGCTGATTTTAAGGCTCAGTTTCTGAATACAGGCTGTGCATTTCTTTGTGGACTGAGCACTTTGATACTTTCACAGTATTAATATAGAACCTGCTTTATAATGAAACAACACATGGACATCTACCTTTATACTGTATCGGACCTTTAATATCCAGATTTTATTTATATTACAAAACAGTATCAGCTGATATTATTCTCTTTTGGGTTTTTTTGTCATCATCTCTGGACATAATGAAGACGTGAGGATTTCAGTTGCTGTACCATTTATTGCTCTTTTATTGAAATGGGCTCACTTAAGTCTATAAGCTGTGAAAATCGCTGAAATATAATAACGAAGCAGAATCAGACCCTGGAAACATTTCAAAAGCAATGAGATGATCCCAGAGATGCATTACGCTTAAAAAAGGCTGTCTGTGTGACATTATGGAGATATGAGGTGTTCATCTGACAGAAACAGTGTACTGCTGTTTCAGCGTTGCCATGGAAACACCCACCGGCCCGAGACAAAGGTTCATTGTAGGTAAAAGCAGAGGAACGAGACAGCCGGCATTTCATTAGGAAGTTGCAGCAGCTCGGCGTCTGACTCAGAGTGGCTGTTATATCACACGTTGTCATCAGCCATTTATCGTCTCCCTCACTGCTCATCAGCTTTGCAGGAATGAAATGCCAAACGCTTCTCCTCGTCTTCAGGAAGACAACAACAACATGCAGCTCAGGGGATGTGAGGCCACAGAAAGTGTCCTCAGTCTGGTCCTGAATGATTTCCAACCTTCGCCTTGTCGTCCTATACCACAGGGAGATGGAATATTAGTTTTTATATAAAGAAAATCAGAACTGTTACTAAACACGCTACTTTCAGTGGAAAGAAATACAACACTTAAATATATATGATTAAAAGTATAAATGAAACTAACATGTACACAGAAGGCTAGGCAATTAACCAAAAAACAATCAAAACTGACATTTAACACCTCTCAGTGTGTGAGAAATATAACTCAGGTTATTTGACGCAGGGTTGTGCGAGGTATTTAACGATAGTCAGTGACTGCTGTAGTAGTAACCTCCACGTGCTCTCTGGACCCCATGCCCACAGCTATGGTCAAGGCATTTCTACCTGCTCTGTGCCCCCTCATGGACATCATCAACTCCTCCTTGGAATCTGGTTTGGTACCCTCCAGCTTCAAAGTTGCCTCAGTCACTCCCATCATCAAGAAGCCAGGTCTGGCACATGTCAAGTCCATCACCAAATCTCTAAAACGTCTCTCGACTCCGGCCATCACTCTCTGACTCCATACCTGAGACCCTCATCCATGCATTTGTCACCACCCGTCTGGACTACTGCAATGGAGTCCTGTCTGGGGTTCCCAACAAAACCCTGGACAGGCTTCAATGTCCAGAACTCAGCTGCCAGGGTTCTTACCCACACCAAGCCCTGGCAGCACACCCAACCCTCATCCAACTTCAATGGCTTCCAGTCAAATCCTGTATTCAGTACAAAATCCTCTCCCTCACCTACAAATCTCTCCATGGTCTTGCCCCCCAGTACCTGTCTGACCTCTTCCACCACCCCTATAACCCGTCCCTGAACCTATGCACCTTGGACACTGGTCTGCTCTCCAACCCCTACACCAGCCTGCATCTTTCGGTGAGAGAGCTTTCAGTGTGGCAACCACCACCCTCTGGAAGAGATTCACACAGCCGCATCTCTGGACACTTTCAAAAAAACTGCTGAAAACCCACCTGTTCATCAAGGCCTATGGCCCCAGGCTCACGAATGTCCTACAATCTCCTCCATCATTTCCTTCCTTATTCTAGTCTTGTTCTCATTTATATGTTTAATTTATTTGTGTCCTTACTCTGTAAAGCAGCCTTGGGTATCTTGAAAGGCGCTATAAAAATCTAAGTTATTATTATCATTATTATTATTACCTATGGCTTGTTACGTGTACGTCTGGCGTACACACTCCAGAGTCGAGCCCCTAAAACTAAGACTTTTGGAAAACGCTGTTGGACCTGTTTGAAAACTCTAGGGTTGTGTTGTGTAGCTAAAACGGAGTCTATCCGAGTTTTTTTTTCTTGAAAATTTTCCACTTAAATCTCGAAGACTATCCGTTTTTTTTTTTTTTCTTCACATAACTTAAACATTTTAATCTCAGAGACTATCCGAGGTTTTTTTTTTCGCCAATTTACCACTTTAATTTCAAAGGCTATCCAAGTTTTTTTTTTTCTTGTAAATTTACCACTTTAATTTCAAAGGCTATCCAAGTTTTTTTTTTTCTTGTAAATTTACCACTTTAATTTCAGAGTCTACCTGAGTTTTTTTTCTCGTAAATTTACCACTTCAATCTCAGGAATTAATTAGTTTTTTTCTCTCAGAATATTATCCCCCTCGCCCTGGCTCTGTAACTTTTTTTTTTTTTTACTTTCAGTTGCCCTAATATGCCGTCACAGACCCCTGTAGTTACCACCCTTTATTTATTTTCATACACAGGACATGATCATCTTATCGCATGATTTATTGTCCAGTGAAACCATCTCCCTTCAGTCTGGAACTGAATCACTGAATCACACAAACTTTTGGTTTGTGGCTGTTGCACTCCACTTTTGTGACAGTCACCTGTACTTGTTGTGGGTAAATGCAGTGACGATTGTCCAGTGATATTTGTTCACCTCATGATGGCAGCCATATGGTATCTAGTTGGAGTGGCACCCACTTACAGCAACTTGTGTGTTGGCTGCTCATTTGTAAATCCAGTGACAACCACCTTTTGACCCAGTGTTTGCTAATGGCAGTCCCAAAATTTTTACAGTGCTATAAATGTGCATGGTTTGCTTCAGATTAAGGTCTGAAGATAAGTCTTGTACCTTACTTTAGGCTGGTAGCCCTAAGGTAAGGTTACGTGCCAAACCTAAGGACAATCAGCATTGCTTTTTAAATGAGTTTTGTGAACTGAATTATTAAAATGTTTGCATGTTTAGTTTCATCCAGGCTGTGGTGAGCACCTATTTCGTAAAAGTAAACGCTTAGTAAAATGAATTGCAATTAATAAATACTACAAAGTTTGACATGTGTTGGTTCCACATTGAAGTTTTGCTGTTTTGAATTTGTGTCTGAAAACTATTTATTCATTGTCTTAAGGGTGGGGGTGTTAAATTACAGTATTAAATTACATTACATAGAAATGGATAGATTTACACCCATCAGCCAGGTAGAAATCCAGGCCTTCACATATGAGCATTTTATGTTTCTACTGTTGGGTAAAAAAAATTCCTCTGTTCCTCTGCAGATGAAGTATCATCAGTTGTAATCATTGATTCATCAGCTAGCTATTTTTGGATTAATTAATTGTTTGCACAGTTAAAGTGACAAAATACCAACGAGAGAATATCATCTTAAACTGAATATCTCAGATTTTTTTTTACATTTATAGATAAAATAATCAATAGATGATTGAAAATCTAATCCACAGATAATGAAAGTCATGCATATTTATGTTTTTTTTTTATGCATCACTTGTGTCAGTTTTTCTGATTTGTATATGTTTTTCTGATGAATAAATTGATGAAGTCATTTGCATTTAATATTGGCCGAGCCTGATAAATCTAAGTGTGTTTACTTTCAGCATCAATACATGCAGAATGTCTGAGAAGTGCTTATTTGTCATGGTCTGGTTACTCCATGTGCTGTGGATTCCTGTCACGGTGGTTAACCCTCCCTCCTACCCCCACCTTCTTCTCCCTCCTCCCCTTCCTCAGGCACGGGGACCTTCGGCCGAGTCTTCCTGGTCAAGGACAAGAAGAGCCGAGCCTTCTACGCCCTGAAGCAGATGAAGATCCCCGACGTGATCCGACTGAAGCAGGAGCAGCACGTCCACAACGAGAAGGAGGTGCTGACAGAGGTCAACCACCCCTTCCTCATCCGCCTGTGAGTCTACTCGCCAGTCTCACCCTCAGTCACACCGGGGGGGCAGGGGCACGGTACACCGGGTGAACATTTCTAATGAGGAAGGTCAAAGTTCTGCATCTGCACTGAATTCAGATACATTGATTTAAGTAATAAACATAGATCTATACTAATGAGAAATTCAAATATATGAATCAAATCAGAGTTCAGAATAAATGGTGGCATCACAGTGACTTTATTTTCATCCCATACAAGAAGCTGATTTATTGTTTTTACTATTGAGGGGCAAAAAATTTATGCATAAAAAGATACTGTGTGTGTGTGTGCGCATGTGTGTATATACATACTGTATAAAATGAAGACATTGTAAAAATATGTTTCATTCTATTAATACAATTTAAGCCTCATTAGCTCATTTTAGGCAATTTTGTTTCCTAATGGTGAAATAAATTTCTCCACTATATAGGAGGACTTATAGGAGGAGGTATCTACCTTCTTGTAACTTATTTTAAAGGTTCCATCTTTTACTCTTCTTCTGTATTTTATTTGAAGTGTTGATGCATAAGATGATATTTGTGGTTTTAAGAACCAAAAACCATCTCCATGTAGTTTTATATCTCTTCTCTCAGGCTTGTCTCTGGAGCTCTGGCTCACCATCCTGTATTTACTAATGAGAAGAGAGTAGGCTCTGAGCCTCTCCTCCGATGGGCTGACTGTTTTCTGAGTGATCCAATAAAAATATCAGGTTTCAGGATAACACTCAGAGAAACCAAACCCTGCAACGATGGACTGTGTGTCCAGGTAGGCCGGGCCTGGGGCATGGCTGAGGGCAGTGACTGTACAGTTGTGACATCACAAAGTTCAGGAAGTCCTGACAGTTAGTTTTAAGGCTCATTTTCTGAATACAGGATGTTTGCATTTCTCTGTGGACTGAGCGCTTTTATACTTTCACAGTATTAATGAAGAACCTAGACCTGCTATAATCAGACTTTATGTCTATATGTCCGTTGTTTCTACATAATAAAATAAATTCCAGACCTATTCTGATGCCATAATACATTATATTTGCCTGCTGACTCAAGTCCAATATAAAGAAGACTTAAGGAGCAGAATATAAGAGTGAGATCAATGTTTCTCTAACAGCAGGATGAAACAGGAGAGTCTCACTGAGCTTTGTTTTGTTCTAATAAAATACTGCATCTGTGCCTCGAAAGCATATTTATAAAAGTCCCTCCAGTTTATGCTTTGCTATAATTTCACTGTACAAATTTGATATTTTCAATAAAGCATATGTAAGTGTGAGAATATAGCTCACATTTCGAAACAGTAGTTTTAAAATGAATAGTCTTGTGCAGCCTGACCACATTACAGTGGTTTGGTTTCCAAAAATTAAAAAAACGGAGTGTGTAGCGAGCTGTTCACTTCACCTCAGCCTCGTATTAAACAAAACAGTATAATATGATGTTAGGTTACACACTCAGTCATTAGGTGAGGCCTCCTGCACATGTGAGGCCTCATTGCTGTGAGAAAGTCTCATGGTGTAATGAGAGGCTCCACTGGAGTCAGAGATATTACATCAAATTAAACAATTAGATTAAATATAGCAAACACAGAGACTGTTGTGTTGCAATTTGGAATTCAGTTTCACTCTTGTTGCTGGTGGCCTAGTCATCATTGTATGTTGCTTTTTTTTCTTTGCTGAAATTTTATCCGCTTCACATTTTCCCTGCGGACTTCAGCTTCCAAATATGGAAACCTTCCACACCTGGAGGCATCGCTGATGATGTGTGATTGATTGATAGCTCATTAATCAGCTCGTTAAAGTTGAGAGAGCAGTGACTTGCCATTTCTAGCAGTGAAATGACAGTGAGAGCAGAAACATTACAAGAGTCTCACAACAATGTGAAACAAGCTCGTTGGCTTTGTGAAAATAAAACTGAATCTGTGTGTTGCTTCGAAGCCTGTCAAGATGTATCTCTGAGACCGGTTCCTTAAACCATCTGGAGAAACAGATGGCTATCGCACCAAACAAAGAGTGCTGTTCAGTATGTTTCAGTGCAAGAGAAGCTTTAGAACAACCACTCTTTCACTTTACATTAACAACAGTTAATGATGTGAACATGTTCATGTCCTGAAATGTTTGTTATTGTTTTGGAACTGTGACAGCTCCACACACAACGCTCACGAAGGCTAACGCTAGCTTGTTTAGGCTAACGTTGGTTTGTTTAGGCGAACATTGGCTTGTTCAGACTGATGTTAGCTTGTGTAGTCCAATTCTAGCTTGCTTAGGCTAATGCTAGCTTGCTTAAACCAATGATAACTTGTTTTGACTAACACTCGCCTGTTTAGACTAACCCTAGCTTGTGTAGGCTAATATCGGCTTACTTGGTAATTCTTCTTTGCTTAGGCTAACATTAGCTTGTTTAGGCTAACACTAGCTTGTTATGCTAATGCTACCTTGCTTAGGCTAAAGTTAGCTTGTTTAGGCCAACACTAGCTCGTTTAAGCCATTACTAGCTTGTTTAGGCTAACAATAGCATGTTTAGGCTAACATAGCACTGACACATCACAGTTTAGTCTGTCAGACTATAACACTGACTTTTAAATTAATATTTTTGAATTATTTTTTGATTTTCAATACATTTGTAAAAAAAATTAAAAACATGTCACTCTGTCATTGTGGATTATTGAGTTTAATTAATGGGCAAAAATGGCAATTTTATAATGAAATCTACAACACAAGGTAAAGCTGTCTGAACACTGAAGCCATTATCAGTTTGTAATGTGTTTTGAGTTAAAGTGAAACTGGTTTTGAACAGTTATCAGTTCATACTGTTCTGTATATGTATGTGCTGTATATTAGGAAATATAACTGCAGATTGAGGTGACAGTCGCTTAAGAAAAGAGAAAAAACAGGAAGTGTGGAGACAATAGCGGTGTAGGAGAGAGTGGCCAGCAGCCAGGACTCATGGAAAACACTGGTGCCTCCTCCATCTTCATCAGTGACAATGGCCTTTTGTTTTTATTCCTCTGAAGTGCCCCTCCAGCTGAAATAGTAGATACACACTGCTCCAAACCACACTGGGAGATAAAACAGTCTGAGACTGATACAGCATCTCATTTTATCTGATTTCCTCAACTCATCTAACAGTCCTTTTAAAACCTGTACCCTCCAGTGGACATGTAGGACAACTGTTCCACCTCTGTGTCCTGTCTGTCATCTCTCAGGTTCTGGACTCACCACGACGACCGCTTCCTCTACATGCTGATGGACTACGTGCCAGGTGGCGAGCTGTTCAGCTACCTGCGCAGCCGTGGGCGCTTCAGCAACGCCACGGGCCTCTTCTACACCTCGGAGATCGTGTGCGCCATTGAGTACCTCCACTCCAAAGAGATCGTCTACCGCGACCTGAAGCCTGAGAACATCCTGCTCGACAGTGAAGGACACATCCGCCTGACCGACTTCGGCTTCGCTAAGAAGCTCTCCGACAGGTGATAGAAACAATATCCATGACAACTAGAATTACAACGTAATTTATAAAGATGGTAAAATAACTTAAAACAGATCAAACTGACAGTGAATCGAGCATTAAAAAAAACATGGAGATATAAAAGGGGTATGAAAATCAGTAAATGGATCATCTGTAAGTGTTGAACTTAAAGGTCCCATAAGTTAAATTTAAAGGTGCCATATTTTGCACTTTTATATAAAACACTCCTGTGTTTTATTATTTATTTAAGTGTTGATCCATTAGAAGATACATTTGTGGTTTTAAGAACCAAAAACCATCTCAGTGTAGTTTTATATCTCCTCTCTCGGGCTTCTTAAAGGAAATGAATTATGTCCACTCCTGCTTGAACTTGTAACGTTGCCGGACTGTCTGTCTATTAAAGGCTCTTTGTCATTCACACACAGATGTCATAACATAAAAGTTTATCTTCTATTTAGACATAACAGGAAGTCAGTCATTAGATAGATTCTCTCTAACTTCTGACAGCGAGCAAATGTAAAAAGATATGAAGCTGAGACTCTTTAAGTTGCTTTACATACTTTTTTTTTTTTTTTTACTTCTCATCCTGCACTGAGAGGAAAATCGTTTCATCGACCAAGCAATTCATTGACAGCTCTGTTATTTAATTCTTTCTTTGTGTGTGTAGTATCCTGCTGTACATCCTTCCAGCTGTGTGTGTGTGTGTGTGTGTGTGTGTGTGTGTGTGTGTGTGTGTGTGTGTGTGTGTGTGTGTGTGTGGCTGCTGCTGAATGTCGATTAGGAATGCTCTCACCTTGCTGTGTTTGATGTGTGATTGATTGTCAGTAGAAAGTGAATGACAAAGCACCTGTCACTGCACACTGTACCTCTGATATCCTACTGTACATCCCCTCACAGGGGTGGCTGGGCTTAGCAAGCTTCCATCAGTTAAGAAACACATCTGAGGGGTGGAGGTCATTGTGGCCACGGCTACACTTTGTATTGGTTTGCTGGTGTTGGTTTAACTTTTTTTGGTCCAATTCACCCTGAAGTTCTTTTCACCTGCAAGAAATGAGTGGTTGAATTCAAAACCATGGAAAACAAGGATCGGGCTCATTTCAGCAAAATCAGGGGAGCATGACAAATTCAGCAAAGTAATACTCCACAGGATTTGTTATTATCTGGATAGAAAATGTTTTTAAACGTCCCATATTTCACACTTCCTGTGTTTTACTTTGAAGGGTTGATCCATGAGAAGATATATTTGTTGTTTTAAGATTCAAAAACCATCTCAATGTAGTTTTACATTTCCTCTCTCAGGTTTCTCTCTGCAGCTCTAGTAACAACAGGTCAGTGACCTAATCAGAAGAGAGGAGGCTCTGAGCCTCTCTTCTGATTGGCTGACTGTTTTCTGAGTGATCCAATAAGAAATAAAGCAGATATCAGGTAAACACTCAAAGAAACCAAATCCTGCAAGGTTTGGATGGTGGGTCCAGGTGGGCGTGGCTGAGGGCGGTGACTGCTTTGTTGTGACATCACAAAGTTCAAGTCCTGACTGCTGGTTTTAAGGCTCAGTTTCTTGAATAAAGGCTGTGTGCATTTCTCTGTGGACTGAGCACTTTGATACTTTCGCAGTATGAATATAGAACCTAGACCTGCTTTATAATCAACAACACGTGGACATCTACCTTTAGACTATATGGACCTTTAAAGAGTTGTTGGAGGTTGCGACCGCAGGCTTCTCGCCCTGTATTTAAGCGTGACCGTTCAGAACAGGTAGAAACCAGACATTTGATTGCTGGATGGTGAAGCCACATTTTATTTCCATGTAGTTTTTATTTACTTTGCTGTGTGAGCATGTTAAGTGTCATTGAAAAGCTCATATCATCCTCTGGGGAATTGGAGGGAATCCTTCCAACTCCAGCAGACCTATGGCAGCGCCACTGAAGGACGAACTTAGTATCAGAGATTCAGGCCTGTGTGTGACCGCGGCAGAATTGAAAAGATGTACACTGTAGAGACTGCAGTGTTTCTGCGTTGACCCCTGCTGACATGTAAACATAATGGAGTAAGATTACATTTTCCCCCGGACTGGGAGAGCAAAGCAGATGGAGAGTAGACACCTTTCTGATGTGCAAGTGACCCACTTATATAAATGGAGGGCAGCAGAATTGCCTGGTATGGCAAGACAACTGCCTCATTGCCACCAGCTCTCTTGTACTCTCCATGTTCAGGCCGTGATGGACTGTCATCACAGCCCATGCTGCCACAGTGCCCCCTGCTGGCAGACACAGTTATTAACATCTGTGAACATGATGACACATGTGTCTTATTTCCCCTCTGTGGCCACGCCCCCACTTGTCCAGTACCAAGCCTTTATTCCCCTGACATCAGCAGTCTCTCCTTGCCCCCCTCCACCACCAAGATCAGCATCATTTTCATACAAATTACCATCCCCATGGCAACCAGCCTGAAAAGAGGTCATCACGCAGGTGATATCGGTCTGGCATCAGGCCAAGTGCTCTTCATCAGAGTACAAGTGGCTTTTAGAGGGAACGCTGAGCGTCGATCAGCTGCTCTGTTAAATGATCTGCTGCAGGTCCTCCCCTCTTAGTATTCACTCGCCAGGCTTCCTTCACTTATTGTCCAGCACTTCATCGCACTGTAACGCACTACACAGCCGAGTCAGGTGACACAGGAAGGATCACTTCACCCACGGGTGTCGTCTTCCACTTGTGCAACAACCCATCTCTCTCCTTACACCACTGATTACTTATCACCTGTCAATGTGGAGGATGCTTATATTTTCACATAGGCAGACGCCGAGATGTAAACATTATATATTAATGTGGACAGCCTACTGTTAACAATGGCGATCTTATGCAGTAATTTCAGACAGCAGCCATTGTTCTTGTGTTTCTCTGTTAAGAGAGAAGACACAAGCACTAGATTGTACACATTCCTATTTGAGCTGGAATTTTTAGATACTTAATCAGCTGAAATTAATTACCCGCCTTTTTGATGATTTGATTCTGATTAATTTTTCCATTCAGAAAAACCAAACATTTCATGGTTCCAGCTTTTCACGTGAGAATTATTTTCCTGTCCAGAGTAAATTATTCAAATGATGAATCAAGTCATTTAGAAAAACAGGGGAAATATTCTGTTAATTTAGTTTCCTTGTTTTAAATGGTAAATAGACTGTAGTTATATGGATCTTTTCTAGTCTTATCAACCACTCAAAGCGCTTTGCTATGGAAGTCACATTCACCCATTCACACATTTGAATTTGGGGTTCAGTATTTTGCAGAAGAAGACTTGAAAATGCAAACTGGAGGAGATGGGAATTGAACCACCGACCTGAGGATTAGATACGCTCTACCTCCTGAGCCGCAGCCAGCCCAGATTTTAATGAAGGTAGATTTAAGAAAAAAAAAGAAAAGAAAAAATACATAGTCGGACATGTACAAAAAGAGTTTGAACATCCAAAAGTGTTTTTTTTTTTGGTTCTATTACTCCAGTTTGACAATTCTAAAGAAGAAGCTTCTTCATACACCTGCTGTTTATGCACTGAAATAAGTAAAGTTATGGATATTATTTTTCAGTGCAAACTCATTTTGTGGCCTGAACAATTATTACTTCGTAGAACTCCACAGCAACTCTCTCAACAAAGTGAAAAATATCTTTTTAGAATACTAAGTGTCACTGTGTTTAAACAGATAATAAAAATGGCTGAAAGCAGAGGCACCACAATTAAGCAAATGGAAGGACACAATTAATGAAATGTATAAAATGGAGATAATAAATCACAGGATTAAGAATCTAGCAAAACTATAATAAAAAAAACAAGTAAAGGGAGAAGGAGAGAGCAAAGTGGGAGAAGATGGGAGGAAGAAATTATGATATGTTATTTCCTTTTTGTTTTGTTTTTTTTTTTAGAAATAACTACTGCAATTGAACAAATAAAAATTATAACAAAAAATCAACTAATATCTGAAGCATAACTTTAAACATGTGGCTTCGAAAAGTCAGATGACACCCACCAAATAAATATGAATAATAAAGAAACGTATCTATATTTTAAAAACATGTTTCTGTCTGTCTGGTCAGGACCTGGACTCTGTGTGGCACTCCCGAGTACCTGGCCCCTGAAGTCATCCAAAGCAAAGGTCACGGCCGAGCGGTGGACTGGTGGGCCCTGGGCATCCTCATCTTTGAGATGCTGGCTGGGTAAGTGCTGCAGTGTAACACTGGGGGGCACTCTCCTCCGCTGGAGCAGATGAGGTCTTAGTCCTGTCTGGGAAATCACAGACACACACACACACACACACACACACACAGGTGAAAAAACCCTCTTTGAAGCACAGACAATGAAGGCTTTGAGTACACGACTGGAATAAACTTGATAATCTCTCAAAACAATCAGCTACACACACACGCACACAGGGGGGTGGACACAATAACATGAACACCTGTACTATAGTGATGCAATCCAGGATAACAACCTTGCAAGAGACGGTGTGTGAGAGAGCAAAGCACTAGAGGAGCCTGTGTACATGGAGCAGAGGAATTATTCTATTAATTGTGTTGCTGTTATTGTCTCAGTGAGGTAAATCTATTCATTGTGTGCTTATTGGATACTGCAGAGCTGCGACAAATTAATCTCTGAATAGGAATCATTGTTGCAGATGAAGAACAATGGCATTGATCCCCTTTAGAAAGCACTCGGGTTTATTCTAATGTTCTCCGTAATCCGCAGTGAATAAAATTAATGTCTGGTGTCTCATTGGCTGTTCTGTGAGACTGGGTCTGCAGGTTGAGAATGACTTTAAGGTTGATTGAGATTCTATAATTCTGCTGTTAATTGAGCCAGTTCAGTTATTCTTAAAGGTTTATATAGTATAAAAGTAGATGTCCATGTGTTGTTTGATTATAAAACAGGTCTAGGTTCTTTATTAACACTGTGGAAGTATCAAAGCGCTCAGTCCAAAGAGAAATGCACACATCCTGTATTATGAAACTGAGCCTTAAAACCAGCCATCAGGACTTCCTGAACTTTGTGATATCACATCAAAGCCGTCACCACCCTCAGCCATGCCCCAAGCCCTGGCCACCTGGCCCCACCATCCAACCTTGTAAGATTTGGTTTGGTGTTTACCTGAATACTATACTATACTTTTATTGGATCATTCAGAAAACAGTCAGCCAATCAAAAGAGAGACTCAAGTGCCAGTTGCACAAAGCACCTTAAGTTAAGATTTTCCTTCCACTCCAAGTATGAGTTAAGGTATCCTTTAAATAAAATTGTTGCACAAAACACCCTTAAGTCTTCTCCTTAAAGTTTCCTTAAAGTGTTCACTTAAGTATTTAAGGATTTGTCCCAGTGATCCTGATAGCCAGTCTGAATATGAAGCCTGTATTAAGCCTGTACCTTTCTCTGCTTAATCTGTCTTTTCAAATTAAAAGCCCTCAACAGAGTCATGTAATTGTGACTTCATGACATTGCAGTGGTTGCAATAACTCTGAATACAGAGCAGCTTCCTTCACTCCTGCTGAAAGGTCACCTGTGTGTGGAGCCCGGTCTACCTTCACCCACACATCCATCTTCTTTATGCCCTGGTAGGAAAGCTATGTGGCTTTGAATTAGTGGCAGGAATGTGACCTTTTCCTAGAATTTTCATTACATCACCAGACGTGTCCAGGGAGGGGCACTACTGTAAGACCCCCACAGACAAAGACTTTTCTTCCTCGTAATGTTTTATTGCATGGCTATTCTTCAGAGGATGAAGCGGCTGCTGCTGAAAAGTTTGCAGTGGTAGATCGTCGTTCTCTGCGGTGAAGCACAAGTTGTGAAAACATTGAGTGAAGGGTCGTGGCCCCAAGGGAGGAAGAGAGAAAGAATGGCTCTTCTCTCTGTTATCCTGCCTCCAGGGCCAGATTTCTGCACTTAATGGAAACCAATCATCCCATGTGCACATGAAGTGTGACATCTCACACTGAAAACCTGCCCCCCCCCCCCCAAGACGAAGACCTGCTTCAGTTTGTAACGGCTCAGTCACTTTCATGTTAATTGTTGCATCAAAAAGTATTTCAAATGAAAGATGGAACTTTAATCAAAGCATATCTATTCCCGGACTCAGCTTCGACTGACTGCATTAAAATGAAATTGACCCCCTTTCCTGTCTCCACATCTCCCCTGGCCCTCCGGCTGGTCCTCGTCCACCCCCTCAGTTCAGTGGAGCGTCAGGCCGGTGATTAGAGATGGAGATCCTGGAGGAGAAACACTTTGTCCTGTCACAGCAGCCTGTCACCCACAAAGTCAAAATGTCATGGAGCTTGAGTAGTTTTGACGGAGGGACACTGCAGCTCCCTCCCCGAGCATCTGTAGAGCCCTTAAACATAAATCACAGTGAAGTATAAACCTTCTAGTTCATGATACAGTAGTTTTAATAGGATTAAACAATTCATTCATCATTTGTTATTCTTAGAGTTGTGACATTTATACAGTATAAAGGTAGATGTCCATGTGGTTTGATTATAAAGCAGGTCTAGGTTCTTTATTAAAACTGTGAAAGTATCAAAGCGCTCAGTCCGCAGAGAAATGCACACATTCTGTATTATGAAACTGAGCCTTAAAACCAGCCATCAGGACTTCCTGATCTTTGTGATGTCACAACAAAGCAGACACGCCCTCAGCCATGCCTCAAGCCCTGCCCGCCCACCTGGACCCACTATCCAACCTTGCAGGATTTGGTTTTTCTGAGTGTTTACCTGAAATCTGCTATTTTTATTGGATCACTCAGAAGACAATAAGCCAATCAGAAGAGAGGCTCAGAGCCTCCTCCCATGATAGTTTAGACCATAATCACTGTTTTCAAAAGGAGTTGCTGCCGCTATAATATTATAATATATTCATGTTACACCTCGTATTTAGAAGATATTGATAATAATAATAATAATAATAATATGATATACTGCTGTACGATACTGTTATATGTACTTCTACTACTACTACTACTTCCTTGTCACTACTTTAAAAATATAGAAAGCCGATTGACTGACATAGTGTCTCACTATCTTACTTTATTTATTTTATTTCATTTATTTTACTCACTAGCTTTAACAATTCAGAAAAAATGGAGCTCCTCCATTTATTCCTATTTGTTTAAAGGGCAGAATTGGCCGGCCCAATGTGTGTGTACTGTATATCGCATCAACGGGGTGAGGCAGCCATTATTTATATGTGTGTGTGTGTGTGTGTGTGTGTGTGTGTGTGTGTGTGTGTGTATAGTATGTCTACGGTATGTCTACATGTAAAACTACATTGACCACAAATATATCTTCTTATGGATCAACACTTCAAAATACAACGCAGGAACAGTGTAAAATATGGGGCCTTTAAAACACTAACTCCACTGTTGATCAGTCAGAAACACATGTTGTCTTGTTTTTGTGACATTACTTTGTGTAAGTGAAGCACACTGGTGATATTTTTGTCATAAACGGTAAAGTCATTTGCTCTCCAGTGCTCTACACAGTACTGAAAAGAGTTGTTTTAAAACATTATTCATTATGCTCTACACTTCACTGCCACTATCATTGGATCCACTCCCTACCTTTCACATAACACATCAAAAACCTGTCTCAGTTGATTAATTCAGGCTGTGTCAAAGCGGTCAGACATCAACAACTCGTAAATGACGTCTCTGGCAAAAGACCAAACTTTTTATGCGTCTGCGCCGGCGAGTGTAGTGGCTGGAAGCTTCAAGTTTTTAGGCTCTGTCCATCCATCCCACCCATTCTTGTGAAGGCGATATATCAGTAGGAATTTGATTACATCTGGCAAAAAAGTCCACTTGGACTCAAGGATGAACTGATTAAATTTGGTGGTCAAAGGGCAATGTCACTGTGACCTCACAAAACACATTTTTGGCCATAACTGAAGAATTCATAGGCTAATTATGAAAAAAAAAAAAGCCTCCTAAAACCAGAGGGTTTTCTGAAAAACTTGACGTTCATTTAAACCTTTATTACTCAGGCTGAAGCAGATAGAAACATGAAATAAAAACCATTCCATTCATAATAATGCATAAGTCATTGGGTTTGCCTCTGAAACTGGATATGGCTGGAAAAACAAGCACATTTTTCATGTCATGTCTCTGCTTCAGAGGCTGATAAATAAAGGTTTTAGTGACAGCGTTGCATCCGATGAGTCTTTACCTCTAGCTAACAGTGATACTAGCTTACCGATCCTCCTCCTCCTCCTCCAGCATGTCTCACCCTGAGCCTTTACTAGCTGGTTAGCAGCTTCGCAGGTTGAAATCAGTGTCTGAATCTCCTCGTTGTCTTTGTTCTTTTCATCCAGGTAACTGCTGTAATCTGCTTCAATATCAGGTCGTCAGCCACTGTCCGAACCACGACTTTAAAAACTTTTGTGCAGCTAAAACCACCGAAAAACAAAATGAATACAATTCCCATAATTAATTTCACCTTCCTGACCAAATCACAATGCATTTCGTTGGTCACATGTCTTAAAAAAACAACAAAATCATATACAAGGTTTGCACGTTGGACCTGGTCTTTAAGGGACCGTTGCTTAAAGGTCCCATATAGTATAAAGGTAGATGTCCATGTGTTGTTTGATTATAAAGCAGGTGTAGGTCCTATATTAATACTGTGAAAGTATTGAAGCGCTCAGTCCACAGAGAAATGCACACAGCCTATATTCAGAAACTGAGCCTTAAAACCAGCCGACGGGACTTCCTTATCTTTGTGATGTGATGAAAGAGAGCCTCCTTTCTTCTGGTTGGCTGACTGACCTGTTGTTGCGAGAGCCCTTACACTTAACACTTCAAATAAAACACAGAAGAAGTGTAAAATATTGGACCTTTAAACACCTTTTCTATCCAGATAATAACAAATCCTGAGGAATATTCCTTTATCAACTCTTTAACCATCAATTGATGTCAGAAAATTTGTCACCCTCCCCCCATTTTGCTGTCATGACCCAGATTCTCCAGCTATGACAGCATCAGTTTTGGTAAAAAAAAAACAAAAAAAACACACACACACACACAGGATTGGAGTCTGCGGTGCACAGCCCCCGCTCCTAGACGCCACCCCCCCTACCCCCCCCATCCCACCGTCTCCTGACTCTGGAGCTTTTCACTGGGAAGGCAAGCGGCGTGGCAAGCGACAAACTGGTGCGATTACGCGCCTGTCTGCTCTGTGCGTAATGCGTTTAGAGGCCCGGTCTCATTATGTAATTTGTGGGTAATGACTTGTCCAGGCCAGAGTAGAGGGAAGAACAGGAGAGCTGGGAAAGGATTCAGTAGAGTGTAGCAGCAGAAAACCCATGGGTGGTAGAAACTCCCACACACACACAATTGTCAAAATAGCTGTCAACAAAGGCTGTTCTGTCCATAGGAGAAAGTTTTCATAACCTCATCTCTCTAAATGTTGACCTCACCACATGTTCGCTCAACACTTCGGCTGAGCGTGTCGGCTCTTACCTGCTTTAGCTGCTCCTTGCATCATGCTGTTTTTTTTTCTGCAGAGCACAAATTGCGTTTGAGCACTGATTGCGTGTGGGCAGCTTGTGTGCTGGAGTGCTGGAGATGACATTTACTCCTCTCCACAGATACCCGCCGTTCTTTGATGACAACCCCTTTGGAATCTACCAGAAGATCCTCGCTGGGAAACTGGAGTTCCCACGCCATCTGGATTTCTATGTCAAGTAAGCTCCAGACACCAGGTCATGGTCAGATAACACAAGCCAAGAATCTGTGTGTGTGTATTTACCATATTTAATCATTTATGTCCAAGGGTACCTAACTTTAGACAAAGTGGTGTCCATTTAAAGGTAAAATACGTAACTATTCTGCATTAAAATGTCTAAGTCCATCATTTTAATGATGGCAACTATATTTTATCTAGATGAAGAATCATCAGAAAAAACAAGCTGTACAAACATTAGCAGCAACTTGGCTCTTAGCCCCTCTGTCCACCAAAGGGCATCAGAGAAACATGATCTAGATTAAAACCAAGATTGGATGTGATCCGATCCGATATCAGAGTCAGTTTTTAGTTTTGAACAACCCATTTTCAAGATTTGATCCAATCCAAAATCAGATCAGATTACTGTTGAACAACTAGGCCCTGGTCCATGTGTTGTGAAGAGGAGGACACCTCTGTAGATAATTCAGCTCCCGCTAAAAACCGCCTAAATGTCTGAATCATAAGTTCCCATAGAAACAAGCCGAGCAAACCTTCTATTTTTTAATTTAAAGTCAGCAGAATTCTGAAAACAAAAATGTTTTCACATGTTGCCCTAATTTTCTTCTGTAAAAACATCTGGAGAAGTTGTTTCAGTAATTTTTGTGGCATTTATGTGTGTGAGGATTTATCTAAAAAAATCAACACATCAACAAAATTAATTTTAAAGAAAAACACCAAAAAGCACCTGTGGCTGCAGCTCTGGTACCAAAACATGGTGCTCATTTAAAACTACATAAAGTCTTCAGACCCCTTCACTTTTTTCATGTTCATGTTATGCCAGAATCAATTTCCCACACAATACTCCATGATAAGAAAGCTCAATTCCAAATGTCTGAATACTGGTGTCAATGAGAAATTTCAGTTTTTCCTTTGTAAGAAAAGCTTCATTGAAATTTCTGAAATTGACTTTTCACTTTGTCACCATGTGATATTGAGAGTAGATCAATGATGGGAAAAATGAATTGAAATCATTTTATATAACAACATGTGAAAAGGTGAAGGGGTCTGAAGACTGCACTGTAATTCCTGTCCTGCAGGTTTACCTGTTCCTGAACTGGTTCCTAAATTGCTCCTGAAAAGTACCTGGAACTTTAAGTTGTTTCAGTTTTTTCCTTCTCCCGGACCTGTTTCCTGGTGTGGAAAATGTGTTCGCTCGGTGCTCGCTCTACGGACTTTTAAACATCACAGGTGAAATAAAAATGCAGTGAGTACTCGACCAGTCAGAAATGTTCAGCACTGCAGACCACACCCCCCCCAAAAGTTTCTGAACCTTTGGAAAGTACTACCCCCTGACCAGGGACTTTTTTGGGGGTCAATCAATTACCCCGGAACTAAATTTAGACCCCGGTTCCTGCGTTGGAAACGCGCATAGTTCCTCAAAAGGTTCCTGGTTCCTGGGGAAAGTTCCTGCGGTGGAAACATGGCTATACTTGCAACTTTTGTGGGAGCCATATGGGCCTTGGATGTGGCCTCTTAAGTGCTGCAGTGTCCCTTTAACATGGGGTCAAGTAGCTTCAGGAGGACCTGCAGTCAGTAATCACACACCAGGCTGATTTGGACCACTCACACCGCCCATTAGACCAGCTGGAGTGTGCAGGAATGTGCAAGATTACAAGCTCAGTGCATTCTGTGTGTGTGTGTGTGTGTGTGTGTGTGTGTGTGTGTGTGTTTGTCATAGGCTACCTTTGGGGACAAATTTTAAACTAAAGACCAGTTAATAGGGGATGGCTTGTCCAAGTGGGGACAAAAGCAGTGAGGTAGGCTTAGGCAGGTAGTGGTTCAAGTAAAGGTAAGTCTCCAGGAAATGAATGTAAGACTAAGTGGTGTCCCCAAAACTGACCTATGACAACCTGGGTGTATGTGTATTCATATTCACTCACTCAGTCAGTCTGTCCTGACACCCTTGCCCCAGAGAGACCAGACACACACTGCCTCCCCTGATAACTCAGCAAACCCTCAGCCTCCCACTGTGAAGCCATCTATCTTGTGGCCACCAGACAGAAGGGCTTTTTAATATTTCCGCCACTTATATCACTCTTACACACTTCCACGTCACACACTCCTATCCATCAGGAAGTGAAAGGCCTGGTGGAGGACTGCAGGCAGTGCCTCCGGCAGCTGCTACTGCTCAGCATAGTCGATCAGAAAGACTGAAGAGCTGTCCCCAGGTGACCTCAGCCATTAAAGGCTTGTAAGGCATCAGTCATAAAATTATCTCCTAGTTAAGGAGTTGTTACTGACACTGTGATGACCTGACCTGAAGAACTCTACACCACCCACGTCTTCCTCTGCTGTCCATATATGGTATACGGACAGCACTAGGAAGGTTAGCAAAGATATAGCACCATGGACTAATCTGGATCAGCTGGTTGAATGTAATGGTGTTTTAGTGTTTGCCTGTTAAATATAGTTTAACATTGTGTTAAAATGATGGAGTTCACACAGATCAACAGGTCAATCACGATTGACAGTGTTGGTGATCCAGGTTGATGAAGGGAGTTTAACATTTTCCCCTCCATCCCTCAACAGCAACTGTCAGTGATAAAAGGCATCACTCTGTAGCAGAGCTGCCAACAGTTACAGCTGCAGACAGGCAGTGAATATGTGTAAAAGAAAAAAAAACCCTTCAAGATGGTTCAGCTGAAGTTGTGTAGAAGGTTTTTACACTTTAATAAAAAATTGTAACAAAAGAATTAATTCTGTGGAAGTTAATTTCAGCCAAAGGGACATTTAAACAAAAAAAAATATATTTTTCACCATTACCAGGAATAATGAGTATGGGGGCATTTTATTAGTCATCTTGAACATGCAAGTTTGGAAGTCTTACTGGGTTGGAGCAGTGAAATTGAAGACAATTGATTGGCTCCTTTATTGGGAGTAGGATGCAGGCCTTGCGCACCTCGCTTAATGACTGTATGGAGGGATGGACTAGGACACTGGTTTTTTACAAGTCATAGGACAAAACATTTGTTTGTTACTTAGCGATTTAATTTTGCTGTGTATGTATGGTATATGTACACATATGTGTGTATTCATTTTTTGTTTGTTAGATTTCTCTTTTTCTCTTCTTCCTCTCCTTTAATTTATCTGTATTTCTCCTGAGCTTATCCATTGTCATACTTATGTATTGGATTGTTTGAAAAAGTAACAGTGTTAAAAAAAAAAAAAAAATCTAATTAAATATCATAAATAAAATAATACATTTGACAGTGACATTAAAAAAACCTGAAATGGAAAACTGATTGAAAGCTTAAGTGGAAAAGCTTTATTAGAAACATCCTGGGAAATAGGAGGAAAAATAAGATGTGGTATAAAGTTTAGTCTGTATACTGTATGTTTTCCTCCCTTCTCCTGTTTGTGTTTCCATTTTTGGCAACAGCAAGGCCAGCCCTTTAATCACCTATAATCTGTGACTGACTGAATGATCATAGTTCCACCATCGTTCAGCCGATTGGTCAGACAACATCGTTACAAAATCAGGATTTTAGCAGCAGCTTGGAAGTGACTGCTGGTTAACATGTAGTCTTATTGGACCACATTTCAGTCACTATATCAAACTTGTTCTGTTGTCGTGACAACAGAAACAGAAAAACATGTCAATGAGAACAGTTTTATTTTGAATTCAGTTGTATTAAAATACTGTATATCTGAGTAGATAAAGAGCTGAAACCAGCTGACACCAGGCTGGATGATAATACGACGAGATGATGTTCAACAACAGTTTTAAACTTCGCCTTCAACTGCACATTGACCATAAACAGTCCCGCCATATTCTAGGTTTTAACCTTGTTTCCTGGATGAATTTTCCTCCATGAAAAGCCATAAATACAGATATTTCCCCCCTGGTGCTGATTAAAACATTTCTCTGTGACAAATCACTCCAAAGGCCTGTCTTTATGCCGAGGAAGGATTTAGACAAAAACGCAGAAATAGCTGACTTGTCACCGTCCAGCTGCCGTATTTATGAGCCTGTCAGCGGCTTGTAGGACGTGAGATACGGCGTCTTTATCGAAAAGCTCCCTGGTCGTCGGCAGCTATCACATTTCATCAGAAAGCCCACACTCTGCCATTTTAAGACTCCCGTGAATCACCCTCATTCTCCAAACGGATATCTACTTTACTTCTAGTCTCAGAAAGTTGCCGTCTCCAAAAAAAAAAAAAGTGCTCACTTTCTTCAATTAAGAGAATCGTCAAAGAGACACAACTCACTTGGCTGGTCCCCCTTTTACAGGCTGGCATGTAGAAGCTCCACCTTGTGAGGAAGGGAGAGAGAGCACTTCAGAGACATACTGCACAACTGTGGATGCAATGACTGTTTCTTTTTCCCCCCAGAGACCTCATCAAGAAATTTCTGGTCATCGACCGAGCCAGACGGCTAGGCAACATGAAGGTGAGTTGGTTAGACTTCCTGTCTCTGTGAGCCACATGGCAGCTTGCCATATTTCTTCCTTGACGTCAGCGGTCAGAGAGCAGGACAGAACAGGACAGGGTCCACAGTATGACTGAAGCTCCACATGTTTCCAGTTAAAGAGAAATTATATTGTCAGTCGGTGGACACTGTTATTTATAATATGTCTTGCAATCTAAATATTGTTATTCCCTAATGAAAGCAACATCCTTGGCTCCTCTCACTCCTCTCAAAGTTATAGAAGTTAATTCATGACTCAAGAACAAATAAATTCCAGCTTTGAGCAATCTGCATGGCAGAGAGCTCACAGTCACTTCAAAATCTGTCCTCATAAGATTCAAACTGTATCTGACTCTTAGCCAGTCTCTTAGCCAGTCAGGTGCCAAATGCAGCTTTTCACTCCTTTACTTAAAGATGTGCAAACAGTTGCCAGTACTACTAATGTAGTCTAATACAGTAGTTCTAACCTTTTCCATCTCATGTCCCAATTGAAAATCTCAAAAATGTTGGTGTCCCACATCTGACCCCGTAACAATACGGAGGCCAAATAATCCCTTTTTAGAGCACTTTTTATTTTAATAATGATTGAACATTCAGGACTGAACTGAAGACTAAATAGTAGAAACACCCCCAGGTATCACTCAATACAGTTCAGGTTGGTTCAGCAGCAACTAATCAAACCAGCCAAGCCCACAGGATGCAACTTTAAGGATGGAAAGCTCTACTTGCTCTGATCCAGAGACCACCTTCCCTCTTGGTTCTCACAACATTAGCTGTGTCCCAGTTCAGGGGTCACATCCTTTGGAGGTCACGGTCTAAGAGTGTGGCTTTTGTAGACCGCGAAGGCCAAACCGAAATGAGACGGTCTGGCCGATGGAGGATTTGTGCTTTGCATCACCAGCTGTGTCCACCCTTACTGTTGCATTACAAAATGTGGCTCTTGTTGCGTTGTGTCTAGACAATGTGTAACTTGTTTTGAGGTTTTAAGGCTGTTGATTTTTTTTAGCTGTTGAACTGAGCTGAAACCCAAAAGTGTAATCCTCAGGCTCTCTACCGGTGTTGTTTGCTTTCATTACCAATGCGCAATGATCTTGGGATAGGTTGGACCACATAGGATCCACCCGTTGGAGCCTTCGTTGTCCATGAAAAGGTCACATTTGACGGAACCTTCGTGGTATAAATCTTGCATGAAGAGTCAAATAATCAATTTATGAACAATAATTCAATAATTTCTCCCCTAAGCAATTTAACCTCAAACTGACCCCAATTGCCAGAGCTCCAGCTGCTGCTCCATGTGCAGCGAGGCTCCTTGCAAAACAATGTGTATGCTTTACATTTTAACTGGGAGCCTCAAACTTCAGCATGCAATCAATGGGAGTTGTGTAGATTTTCATTCAAATTGTAAAAGTGCAGCGTAGCAATGAACAGTAGTGAAAGGAGAGGGACTGAGAGCTGCTCTCAATAAAACAAATACTTCTTAAAGCCTGGTTATTAACTCCACGTAATCCCTAGACAAGATGATATTGATTTTTTTTTGGCTGCCAATACTTATCTACAGAGCAGTCACATCGCTTATTAACAGAACGCTGATGCTGCAGTGCACTCACAGGCTGTCTGTACGGAGGCTCAGCAGTGCCACCAAAAGACAGTGTTTAATTACAATCAACTCAAGAACTGAAACATTCTTTTATAAATTTATAAATGTATTGAATGATACATTAATAAACTTAAGAAATAAATATCTAAATTCTTAATTTAATAATTCAGTGTACCTTTTCTGGCTTGAAATAGAGTGCCACAGGGATGATGTATTTTTGTAGGCTAACCTGGATGTTAGCATCACCCTGATTCCCTCCACAAAAAGCCAATTGGATTTGGAATTTTTGATCCATTAGCTTCCCACCCATCATAATCCATCTCACAATTCATCTCAAATTTTAAAAAGTGTCAACATTTGAATACATACAGTTGAATATTATTATTAGTATTATTATTATTATTATTATTATACCAGTCCCCATTCACTTCTCAAAAGTTCAAGTTTACCAAATACGAATAATAAGTGCCATTCAGAATATTATGTTTCTTAAGTTTATTTTTACTCTGAAAATAGGCAACTCCGTTGTTTTCTTTTGAATATAAAATCGCTGAAAGGATGTGTTCACTTTTCTTCAAGTATTTCCATATGAACACTGAAACTGATTTGGCTCCTGTAATCAAATTAAGTCTGCCCAATCAGAGATCCTGCTGCTGCTCTGTGGGTCGGACGCAGGTCATACTTGTATGCCAGCCAATCAGATCTCCTGGGGGTTGGACTGTATTTCATTTTTAGTTTGTCTTTCAAACATTAACTCATCATTTAAAGGAAACCAAATTAGCAATTAGTATTTTTTTAAAACTTTTATGAATGTATCATGTAGTGTAGTTTAATTAATGAATTTATAATAGTTTTTTAAGATTATAAAAGTCTGCATTTATTTCATTGGCACACTTTAGACTCCATATGAACAGATCTTTTTTTATGTTTACTTTGTAATGAAGGAAACTGGTGGTACACCACAGAAGGAAAGAGATGAATATTGTGTGTTTTTGTTACTGCCAGTGAATCTCTCCAAACCGGAAGTCCACCAGGTCCAGTTTTGTGTCACATACCAGTGATGACGAAGTTAAATGTGATAGATAGATAGATAGATAGATAGATAGATAGATAGATAGATAGATAGATAGGTAGATAGATAGATACTTCATTGTATCTATCTACCAGACAGTGCTCACCCGATAGCATGTATTAATTCAGAGTACTTGGCTACAGTTCATGTCCTATTTCCCTCTCCCCTGCCTTTCCTGTCTGTCTCCACTGTCGCTGTAAAATGCCAGAAAAATAACATTAAAAAAACAAAAAAAAAAACAGATGTTTATTGTTATGGTGGGAGAAATGCTGAAACAGCATTTAAACCATGCAAGGATAGGATTGTTCCCCACTGAAGGGCAGACGGTTGACAGGCTTTTAGTTGCTCCTCCAGGCTTCGTTCACTGCAGCTTTTACAGCCTGTTGAACAATGCAACAATAACAACAATAAAAACACTTTCTGTGGGTCGTCAGGACTGATCCTTACAGCCCTGACAGGCCCGTGTCAACCTGATACTACAACCCCACGGTGACCCAGCAGCCATGTTTTGTGTTTCAGAACGGAGCAGATGACGTGAAGAAGCACCGCTGGTTCAAGACAATTGACTGGGAGGCGGTTCCTCTGAGGAAGCTGAAGGTGAGACATTTATATTTGTTCAAAAACATAGTAAAAAATAACCATGTGTACTGCTCGAGCAACATTATGCATCTGTCATTAAACACACAAAAAAGTTCTGACAACTGACAGATGTTTCTTTGTTTCTGTTTTTAATTTGAGTTGAGTAAATCATTATGTGTTTCATTAACTATTAGTGAAAATTCTCTATCTATTAATTCAACATGTGGCAATCAGTTTAATACCTGTGTGTAACTGCAGGATTTATGACATCACAACTAGTCTGCAGCCAATTAGGGTCGAGTATAAACCAGTGAAGTACGAGGATGACATTAGAAACATTTTCCATGAGGCAGAAATGGGGTTTTTAAGAATTTCGTAACTTAATTTATATACATAATAATAACTTTAATAACTTTTTTTTGTATCATTCAAAAATTTTCAATGTCAGTACTGATGCAGATACCTTGACGTCGATAGTGATTATTAACGAAACCAATTTTATCTAATATCATCCGTTTTAACAAAAAGAAAATTACAACACAAATTATGATACAAATTTTAGTTCCATTTTCATTTTGCCAATCAGCAGCATTAAATAAAGATGGGTATAGCCTCCGTGAAGTGACTCACAAGTTTCTGAAAAGTGAGCTGCTACACCGTAGTCATCTTGGCAGTGCCTGACTCCACCCCTAACTCCAATCCTAATCCAAAAATTGGCAAAGAGGTGGAGCTGAGACTCTGGTGCATGCCGGTTTGTGGCAAGCATAAGCTCACCCACCTGTCAATCAAAGAGGCCACGCCCCCAATTATGCAAGTACATTTAGTACTTTAGTACAACATGGAAGTCGATGAAGATTGACTCACTTTTAGAGCCAGTCTATAGTGGTCATTAGAGGAACTGCAGGTTTCAGCACTGTTGCACAGTGTTGGCTTCAATTTTCAGCCCTTGAAGTTGCCAGTTGGCCCCCAGCACACTGCGTGCTGATTGGCTCACTGATGCTGATGAGGTTTACTCATTTACTCCTTGGGTATCAAAATTTGGCATAGAATGGCGAGACATTTTTTCTTTGTATTCTGCATCAGCTGCATTTCTGAAAACAAATCCAAATAATATTGAACACTGAGTTTTGTCTTCTCACAGTTTGATTTTGAATTCACGCAGTGAACATTTACTGTGTATGAATACTCAACTGTATCGGCTTGGATTTAACTGTGTGTTCCACTGTCTCCATAGCCTCCTATAGTCCCTAAAGTTTCCCACGAGGGCGACACGTCCAACTTTGACGTTTACCCCGAGGATGACTGGAAGAAAGACCCTCCTGTGCCTCAGAAGGACTTAGAGATCTTCAAGAACTTCTGATCAGACCGCCCCATTTATTTATTGATTAGAATATCCTGAGAATTGACCCAACTTGTTGTACATTTACTGTTACAGGTACTATCATGGAGAAAAGGCGTATTTATTAAGGCAGGGAGTCACATTATGTCTGTAATAATGGCTTCCCTCCAGACAAACTCCAGATGATCAATGCTGTGACATGTATCATACTGCAGAGATGATTTGCTTTTTTATGTTTATTTATCTGACAAAAGTCAACGTTTAGCTGTTATTGTTTTTTGGGTTTTTTTTGTTGTTTATTTTAATCAGCTTTTGTTTCTCTGAGCCTCATATGCAAAAATGATGCGGTTCCTGTGAAACCCAAAGACTGTTACTTTCTAGGTTTAAAAAAAAAGAAAAGAAAAAAAGAGAATAATCAGGTCTTTTTTTATATCGTCATGTTTTATATTTTCTCTCTTTTTCAAATGTTCATGTTTAACGTGACTCCAGACTGGTGCTGTGACTGTCAGCTGGCCAGTGGTCACTAAAGTGCAGTTTTCGACTTACTGTATATTGTAAGTAGTCATGAGTCAGACAATTTATTTGAAAATGTGTGACCGGTAGCGCTTGTAAAAAGGTGCCTTACATCACTTTTTGATGGGCATGATGTCTTGCGATTCCATAAAGTTCACTTGAAAGGAAGCTCCTCTACAGGAAGCTCAATCATGGGACAGTCAGGACATGGAAGGTGTCTTTATTTCCTGGTGCAGCTTTATTCACAGCCAGGACTTTGTCGTTACTGTTACAGACAGGCTTTCCCATCATCATCATCCCCATCATTATCATTGTTGTCATGTAAGTTGCTGGGATGTGATATCAATATCGTATTCAGTACTCATGCGTTTAAGCTCATCATGTAGTCGACAATATTGGCCTTCAAAATAAACTTCATATTGATCTCTCGATTTTGTTCACTGCCATTAAAATTGGTCATGGGTACAGGTGACACCTATACCCTCCTGCTACCCACTTCTACTGGAGGGTCCTTCACATGTATCCCAAACCGGTTAGCAGGGATTGAAAGTCAGTTGTAAAACCCTCCAGCAGTGAGTCTACATCAATGCCAGTGTTGTGTCGGCTTGTTATCCAACCCTTACAAACATAAACTGCTCAAACTAAGATAGACGTTTAAGGTCCCATGTTTAAAACTTTTCCTGTGTTTTATTTTGAAGTTTTGATCCATAAGAAGATATATTTGTGGTTTCAAGAACCAAAAACCATCTCAGTGTAGTTTTACATCTCCTCTTTGGAGCTCTAGTAACACCAGCTCAGTGAGCCAATCAGAAGAGAGGAGGTTCTGAGCCTGTCTTCTGATTGCCTGACTGTTTTCTGAGTGATCAAATCGAAACATAGCAGATTTTAGGTAAGCAAACTCAGAGAAACCACATTCCTGCAAGGTTGGATTGTGGGTCCAGGTGGGCTGTAGTTGGGGCGTGGCTGAGAGCGGTGATTGCCTTATTGTGACATAACAAAAATTAGGAAGTCCTTACGGCTTGTTTTAAGGCAGTTTCTGAATGCAGGCTGGACTGAGCACGTTGTTACTTTCACAATGGAAATATAAAACCTAAACCTGCTTTATAATCAAAAACACATGGACATCTATCTACCTTTATAATATATGGGACCTTCAATATCATCGCACAGATGTTAACAACTCAACGGTTACGTTGCATTTAGGATCAAATGTTCCCATCTCTGGTCTAGAAGTCTGTTGACATGTTCATTTGATCATGAGGTGTTGAGGTGCAAAAACCAAGCAGCTTATAAACATCGGATTTAGAAATGCCACCAAAGAAGCTTGAGAAAAAATTATTCTTGGGAGTAACCATGGTTACGAAAGGTTTCTGTTTCCACCAGTGAAAGGGACGTTTGTCGCGAAGTTTGCAGCTTGACAACCATCTCTCTACACTGGGGGGCGGGGGGCGTCCAGGCACATCACTGCTTATCCCAACACACAGTCAGTGTAGTTAAACACATTTAACTGAAGATAAAACTTGAAGCAAAGCAACTACTTAAAGGTCATGATGAAGCATGTGTGTGGCCTTTGTACACACAATGTTAGATGATGAAATCTAAGTCTAGAGTCAAATCCATGGCTTTTAAAGGAAAGTTACTATTGATTAAAAAGATTTTATTGTGTAACATTCTACAAATGATTGTCGTTTGTTTTGATGAGTAAAATATGATCAAATGAGCGAGATGGAGATGATCTTATGGTACAAATATCTCTGCTTTCATGTTTTGATTTGAGCTGATTGGCCAGTTCGACACCTCGCTGGATGATGTCAGTGCAATGCAGCAGAAGTCTGAGCCAGTTGCCGTTTTCTTGATGGACAACCCTGTGTTTTTTTTGTCTTTGTGATTAGCCAGGCGTTGGTTTCCTCCTGAATCTTGATACAAAAGTAGTGTAGTGTATCAGTTAAGTCTGTGTTGTCTGCATTGTTTTACTTTATAGGAGTAAACACTTGAAAACACTGAAGTGTTTTTGTTTGATAAGATCTTCCTTCCTCATCTATTCATTGTCATCCAGCTGCAAGCCGCACTCCCCAACATCAACTGAAACACTAAATCTTGCTCCTACCAATCCGTCAGAGTATTCTTCTGGACCAAAACATTTATATAAAATACAAAATTGGAAAAACTGTGAAAAAATGGTATTAACTGGAATATTTTGATGGGAGCGGGGTTAGTAGGATTGATAAATGGAAACAAATTGAAAACACAAGAAGCCAATCTTGGAAACTTTACAACTCCTTGGTAAAAGTTGCTCTCAGCAGCTATGTAAATATTTCTTTAAAGGTGCTATATGTTTTCTTGGTTGGTTTCTTGTCGAGAGCAGGTTGTGGTGGTTGTTGCCATTGTTGTGTTTACAAGACAAGAGGTTATACTGCGTACTCTGAGCAGCGCTACATCTTCAGAGCAGACTGGAGGCTACATTGAGTTGGTATCGGAAAGTGGTGTGACAGGCTAGCTTGTTAGCATGCTAACATCAGTAGAAGAAAAGACATGATAGAGACAAGAGTTAGCATTAGCGTTGCTTTCCACCTCTAGAGACAGCTCTTAATGCTGATCTCACATTTCTTCTAGACTGGTAAGTAAACAGCTGTTAATGCTAATGTTAGTTCTGTAGCATTAGCAAAACTTATATATAGCTCCTTTAAAAGAGCGCTACTACAACACCATCAAACACCTAATGGACAGTTGAAAACCAGTTGTAGATTACATTGCCCACAATGCGACTCGGCCAACAAGGTTTTGGTGAGAGGTCGGGGTGTAATATGCTAGAGTAGTGGCTAATGTAGCCTGCAGCAGAGTGGGCTGCAGACGTCTGGTAAGCTAACTTCTTAGCTAACGACCACAAAACTATACACTGAGCAAATATGCGTGTGTGGTATTGGCTCACCTGAACCGTAATGATTAAATGACCATGAACATATCTTCATTTGTCACCTAACATTTCTGTTCACATATCAGATGTTATATATTTGTGACTGGCTAATGCTAACCAATATTTATCAACCTGGCTGATGATGCTACTTCTGAAAAACGGTCAAATTCTGGCAGCTCCAGTCCAAACAATAGTGAATCTGTTACCTTTCTGTTTTCAACAGCACATTATACTAAATGTGGGCATGCACAGGGCATCAGTATGTATTCCCCATCATATTCAGCTCTGTCTCCTGTTTGTATGTAGCTTTTATAATGTAAAAAAAAAAAAAACTAATCATCACTCTTCACAATGCCTGTTATATCATACTCCACATTGTATTTAAAGCTTTTTCTGCTGAGTAGAGGAACCTGGACTGCTCTGGGGACAGTTAGAGCAGTTTTTGTACAATGCATGTGTCGTCTGTAACCTCCAAGCAATATGTTTTATAAGTGTCAGCCCTTGCCTTGAAAATGTTGGTTTTGTTGGTGCAATCATTCATTGTTTTCTACCCATTACATAAAATTGCCTTTTAGTAACACCTTTTATTCCTTTAACTATGGAACTGTAAGCAATGGCACATGTTTGTATGAAGGCTAAAAGGTCTTTGAAAGTGTTTCAGAAACTTGAAATGACAAAAAAAAAGAAACATGTTCTCTTTCTGCTGGTGTCCTGCCTGGTCCTTTCCCATCCTCCAGTCACCAAGCAGCTGCTTGAAGGTCAGCTGCCAGCCTGCGTGGTCAAGCAAAGCTTTTATATTTACAAAATGGAAATCTGACATTTGGGGAATGAACTCCTTTATTTCTGATGTTTAATGCTTCTCTGGTACTGCTTTTCTCCTCTTTTGTTTCTATTGATACCAACCTGACTGGTCTGAAAAACTAAACGTAACATTACAAAAAAAATTTTAAAACTCTTCAGTTTAAGTGCTTATTTACTTACTCATCTTCTCCAACCTGTTAAAGGGCCTTAGCACAAGAATGCTGGGCGGCTGCCCATAACAATTTTGCAAATGATTAAAGGTCCCATATTTCAAATTTTTGCTGGTTTATATTTGAAGTGTTGCTCTATAAGACCATAAGAAGATTTGTTGTTTTAAGAACCAAAAACCATCTTAATGTAGTTTTACATCTCAGGTTTACAATGGTTGGTGAGCCAATCAGAAGAGAGGCTCAGAGCCTCTGTATATAATACAGTATCTTTTATTTTTCTTCAGTATGTTGTTAACAGTTTTACATTCTCTAAAACAACTATATATATAATTTGTGATTATTCAAAAATATATAAAAAATATTGATTAGTGCAGCTTTAATTTTTTTGTATGTTTTTAACAGTGTAACATCTAAAACCAATACTTACAGAATTTAAAAATATTCTGATGGCATGGATGGACAAAGAGTGCTGATGTGCATTTCTGCAATTCGGGGGTTTTGGGAAGGGTCGTGACTAAGGTTGCGGTGTCTAGACTCCAGGTGGTCACTGTTTATCTTCTCTGGTGTGACTAAGAAGACGCTTCATTACTGAATAAGTTCTACATGAATGGTTTTGACCACTGTTAATCAGCATGTGGGGGAGGGGTTCATGAGTAACAAGGAACTTTCATATCTTATTCCTCAGAGATTGAATATCTGAGCAGTGGAGACATTATAACCGCATGGGCCTGCTCTCTGCTGCTTTGCTTTTTCAGAATTCAGATGGTTGACATTAAGAAAGTTTGGCTTTTTGACAGAGGTAAGGTGTTGGTTGTTTTTCTTTGGGACAACTGCCTCATGAGGAACATATGTAAATGACGTGGCATTTCCCAGTCTTTACCATATGTTTTCCAATAAAGGTGTGACTGTTTCCCAGTAGCTGTAGCCCTTTAAATGTAATCAGTTTAATTCTTTTTTACTGTGGATTATGTTTAAGTGCTATAAGCTTTCATTTCCTCCCTCTATCTCTGATTCCAAAGGAAGGCCTGGTGTCAATGTGCTGAAGTCAGTGTTTCATGGAGGGTTATTATGTTTACAGTGGAAAAATGAGTCATGTTTTGTCTGGAGTTCCCTGGTAGTCTGGCTCTTAGTGATGACAGTCAGGACTGTAAAGCTGCACGGCTCTAATAGTCAGCTAATGAATGCCTTATGAAGTGCTTTCAAGGTGAATTTGGTGGATTGAGGGTAGAGGCTGTGGGAGTGCACAGTTACTTCCCAGAAGGTCGTAGTGACAGGAAATGCTCAAAATCAGGAGGTAATAAAAAAGTCATACTGTCTAGTGTCAGTTATCAAATCTGCAGCATTTACATTTACACCACACTTTGTTTTTTCTGTCCAAATTCAACTCATCTGGTAAATATGATAAGTTAATAGTATGAGAAGTTTCAAGTTTCTCAGGCAGATCAGCCCTTTTGTAATAGAGTCTTTATTTCATTATTATCATTATTTTGTTATTTTCCTCTGTTATGTGATTTTCCGTCATTGCCTGCTTATGGATGAGCTGG